TGGTGGGGGCTGATGCCTCCTAGCCTGCAGAGCCCTCTCAGTGAGGGGTGGGGGCTGCAGGGGTCGATGTCACGGTCCCGGGCGCAGAGCCATTCCTGATACTCTGAGGGGCAGGCGTGTGGAAAGTGGTCCTGGCTTTGCACCCTCTGCCCCCCTCCTGCAGCCAGCCGCCCAGACAGCGAGGAGGAAGGGACATACCGGCCCCCCCAGGGCTCTCCTGGGAGAGGAGGCGGGCCCAGGGCTGGGGCCACTCCGGGGAAGCGGCGGCAGGGCCAGCCGTGGTCTGTCCTGGAGCAGCAGCTTCCTCGCGGGGCGCCAGGCTGGGCGTCCCCGGCCCCGCGCAGGGCCCGGCCCAGCAGCCCCGCACCGTGGCCGGCTTGGGCAAGTGCTGGCAGAAGTCGGCTGGCACGGGCCCCTGGGCCCGGGGTCCCAGGCAGGTGTCACGCCGGTGCTGGACGCCATCCCCGCAGGAGACGGAGCACTGCAGGGAAGAGGGAAGGAGGGGCTGACCCTTCCGAGGGTGACGAGGACAGGGGACACGGGCCAGGCATGACGGCTAGCCTCTGCACAGCACTGGAGGCGCGTCCCTGTCTCCATTCCACAGCGACCCCCCGAGGCTCAGAGGCTGCCGTGTATGGGTCACAGGGAGGAGGGCAGGGATTCAAGTTCACGTCCCTACCTGTCATCCTCAAGGCCTCTTTGCGTCTCCAGACCCTGGAGTAGGGATCAGGAGGCATGGCTGCCCCCCCTCCCGCCCCCCCGCATCTGTCCCTGCAGCCGTCCGCCCTGCCCTCCTGCCCGGCACTGCCCTCCTGAGCCCTCATCTCCCGGCCGATGCCCCTGGCCCTTCTGACCGACGGGAGGCAGCTCTGCTTTGCCTCTTCTCTACACCGCGAGCGAGCCGGAGGCCCAGCCCTACCTCCCCGTCTCCCGGTGCCTGGGGAGGTGCTGGGCCGGGGTGGCACCTGCTTGTCCGGGGGGAATCGGGTTGTCTGCCCTCGCCTTCCTGTATCTGCGACCTCGGCCTCCGAGGGCCCGCTGCCCTCCCCGCCTCCAGGCCTGCTGTCTTCCTCTCCAGGTGCCCGACCGCCCCCCACGCCTGCTCTCCATCTCCTTCCGGGCGTCACAGTGACGAAGCTCCCGGGGTCCCGTGTGAGGCCTCATCGGACGCTCTCCCCGCCCCAGCCGCGGCCTCACCTGCGTCCAGGTGCTGAGGTGCCACTGGTAAGTGCAGTCGGCGACGACGCAGGGGATGCTGGCCCGCGGCCGCGCCAGAGCCGCACAGGCCGCCCCGTCCACCTCCGTGTCCTGGCCTCGGTCCAGCCGGACGCAGGCTATGGAGCGGGTGGCAGTGCCGAGGCCACAGCTGGCTGAGCATGGGCCACGCGACGTGACTTTCCACCTGCAGGAAGAGAGGCCCCAGGATGGCACGGCCCCTGGGCTCCCCGGATGGTCAGCCAGGACAGGTCCCAGGGCCCAGTCGGGGGGTGCAGGAGGCAGCTGATGGGTGTTCCTCTCTCTCTATCCCTCTCCCTCTCCAAACAATCAATAAAAACATATCTTAAAAAAGAATAATGAAGCAAAGCTGAGCATCGTGGGTGGGTACGTGTGCCATTCTGCACCAGTGCTCAGGCAGGGCCCCCACCTCCTGTTGGTTGACTCGAGCCTGAGTGAAGGGATAGCCCTGAGTCAGGCATCCCTGGAATGTTCTAGAACATCAAGGAGGCCAGAGTGGCCACAGCGACTTGCAAGGGGAGCCAGACCTCAAGTGTGTGAAAATCCCATAAATCCCAGATCACCTGCACCTCTAAATGTGACGTGGGAAATAGTGGGGTACAAGGACAGCGACATTAGCACAAGCAGTGACCTCAACAGACACTTTGGTAGGAATGGTAGGTGGGTCACAAAGCTGCCCGTTGAAGACAACTTGATATGGGATGGGAATGGGGGAGGGGGAGCCGGCGGGCGTGGCAGACGCCTCCCGTGGATCCAACAGACGCAGGACTCGAGGACGTGATAAGGGGCCGCCGGGAGGAACTCGGGCACTGCTGGTTAGCAAACTGGAAAAATAAAACTTGCTCCCGACTTCCCGACTTCCCCCAAATAAATCACAGATGAGTTCAAGGGCTGACATGTAAGAGTCTCATTTGTAAGGTGTGTTTCTTTAAAAACGAGAGGTGGGAGGAGCACATGGCACTATGAGGACATCACTGACCCTGTCACCTTTCTGTACGATACGGGAAAGCATGACATCATTAAAGTGTACAAGTAGCCCGGCCGGCGGGGCTCAGGGGCGGAGCCTCGGCCTGTGAACCAGGAGGTCAGGGTTCGATTCCAGGTCAGGGCACAGGCCCGGGTTGCAGGCTCGATCCCCAGTGCAAGGCGTGCAGGAGGCAGCCGATCCATGACTCTCTCATCACTGATGTCTCTCTCTCTCTCCCCTTTCCTCTCTGCAATCAATAAAAGTCTATTTAACACTTGGAGTGGGGGAAACGAGTTAAGTCGGCTCGCGTGAATTGCGCGTACTCCGCGGGAGCCGTCTTTAACTCGGTTCATATAGATTTGCGGTGGAGTGCGGGAAACGTGTAAACTCGGGCCGATTGTAACTGCGTATTACCAAATATTTGTTTGTAATCCACCCTTTTGGTGGATGGAACAAAACCAAAAGACAGAGCCATCTTATATTTTGGCGGGAAATTCACCCCACACCGGAGTGTTAAAATCAAATAAAATGCTGCACACGTACGATGAGGAAACCACGGGGCCTGTGGACGAGGCGGGAGTGTGTGCCCTTCCCATGGCCCCAGCCTGGTCTCAGAGCTCCAGCCCCACCCCCATCCCCCACCCCCACCGGCCTGAGCACCCTTCTGCCTGTGTGCCTGGTGCTTGGCTCCCCACTGGGACCACCTCAGGCTCCACCCCATCTGCCTCCTCCACCCAATGAAGCGTCTGCCCAGCGCTACCCACACCCACACCCCGTGAGAACCCACAGCGCGGCCGGTGCGTTGGCCGCCATCTCTGGCACCTGGTCCCGTTTTCTGAGGACTGTGTCCTGAGCCCCTCGGCCAGCCCTTAGTCCCCATGGCCCTGGCCTGGCGCCTGCACCCTGGGGCTCAGGCCACCTGCTGGACACCGGGGCTGCTGACCTGGGCGGGCAGGGCTCCGGGCTGCAGGCCTCCTGTGGCTCTGGCTGCGGCAGCCCCTGGCACTGGGTATCCGGCAGGATCTCCTCGTCCTCGTCCTGCCCGTGGGCCCGGGCACAATACAGGATCCTCCGCGCCACCCCACCCCCGCAGCTCACGCTGCAGGCCGCCAGCTTGTACCGCCACCTGCGGCAAAGCGGAGTCAGGGGAGGACCCGAGCAGCCAGGGGTCCCCTCCTTTCCCCACCAGGAGGGGCCCGCAGAGGCGCTCTCTCTGGGGGGTCACCCTACGTCTCCACTGAGGGGCTGGCACAGTGGATGAGAACATCAGAAGAACCCATTTTACAGAAGGGGAAGAGGAGGACAGGTGTCCAAAGGCAGTGGGAGGGGGCAGGGCACCCCGGTCCTGCTAAGATGTCTGTGTCCAAAGGGATCCCAGCCTCTCCACCCCGGGGCCCGCCTCCTGCTGCCTTGGCCACGTGCACGATCACACCCGTCACTAGCCGTCTCCTGTCTGTCCGACTTACCGCCCACTGCCCGTCCCCAGCATCTGCTTCGGGAGGGCAGAGGTGCTGTCTGTCGGTTCAGTGCTGTGACCCCTCGTGCCACAGCAGTGCCTGGCACAGTGGGTGCTCAGTAAGGAGCAGGCGATGACAGAACGAGCCATCCACCACGTGTGCCCACAGCACCCGGATCCGGGCCATGCGCTTTTCCCATCGCCCCATGAAACCCCTCGGACCACCTGCCTCCTGGGGGAGGGGCCCGCCTGGCGGGGCAGGGCGCCGGCCAGCACTTGGAGTGAGGCAGGGGGACGGAGCGTCCACGGTCCCGCCTCACACAACGCACAGCCAGTGGCAGCTGCCCACTGCCCACCGCCACAGGTCACCGGGCACGGCCACAGCCCGGGGCAAGAGGGGGACCAGGCTGCTGCCCCGCGCAGTCTCCTTCCCCGCTCACCAAGCCGGGCACGGGGCAGCCTGGCAGACCTCGCGCCGGCTCCCCGGCTTGCTCGCCAGGTCACACAGCTCTTCCTGGACAGCTGTCCCCAGGGCGGAGTCCATGCACACGAAACGCAGCTCCGTCTGGCCTGCAGGGAGGAAGCAGGGACCCCGGGCCCAGGAGGAGGGCTCAGCCAGGACCACGGGTGCCGGCTCTCCGAAGAGCTCGAGCGAGGGCTGGCTCTGCCACTGACCAGCTGTGTGACCGTGGACAGTGACCTAAGCTCTCTGAGCCTCAGGGTTCTTCGTATGCTGATGGCTCACTCGCAGGGATGTGTACAGAGACTTTCGAGGGGGAGTTACGAAGTGCCTGGCACATAGGTTTCCTGAGGGGCAGTAGGAGAACTGCTCTAAACACCCCTTACTGTGTTTGCCATCAACACATCGGGAACTTCCTCAAAAGAAACCTCTGGCTCCGTTCTGAGCGAGCCGAGGTTGCACTGAGCGGTGGGAGTTGGAGGCCACTGTGTATCTTTCATTTGTTTCTCTGGTTTGGCACCAGGAGCTCAGAGCTAAATGTGGGCCCGTCTCCCCCAGCTTCTCTGGGCCTTAGGACACACGCTCTTGGTGCCAAGATGTTTTACGATCTTTTCTGTCTCTCGGACAATCACTCAACTAGTGCAGGGCTGTCTGCACTCTGCCCCAATCTCCTCGTACACCGGCACTTCCTCGCGCAGCTGGAATTTTCTAGAAGCCACCCAAATGCCTTTTAGAACTAAGCCAGACGCAGGCAGGCAAGAGCTAGCTAATGAGCTTGGGTGTTCAGGGGCCTCACCTCTGCCACAGGAGACGGAGCAGGGCCCGGCCAGGGGCGTCCACACGTGGGCAGCGCGAGCCCCCAGCCGGGGGCCGCCCGGTGCGGGTGCGGCCTCCTCCCCCAGAGGCTGGGGGTCCGGCTGCAGGGGGCAAGCACAAGCTGATGGGTCCGGCACCCACCTCTGACCTCCACGCCCACCGTCCCGATCCCTCAGGAGAAAGGAGTGGTCACCCGCACCCCGGGGGCCGTCCTCCCCCCGCCCCTGCTGATCCTCCCCAGGGAGGCTCGCTTCCAGGACCCCAGCGATGCTGCTGCCTCACCACACCCCCCCTTGGCCTCTGCATCAGCGGGAGGTCACTGTGGGCGGGGCTGGGGGAGTGGATTTGCCGCCCCTGGCCTGCGGTCCCCAGCCCCGAGCGGACAGGGTTGGCAGCACCTCTGTGTGAAAGCAGCAGCACCAGCCTCGAGCCCCGGATGCCAGGGGGAGCCTGGCAGCCTTCCTCCGTGCAGCTCCCTGACAGGGCCTGGCCCCCTCAGCCCCGCTTGCCCGGGAAGGGGCTGCCCAGGGGCCCGGAGCGGTTCCTACGCGTATCTGGGGCCGGGCTCCGGCAGAGGAAACGTTGCAGGACAGTCCTCTCACTCTGGCCGGGAGGCCAACGGTAACCAGTGCTCCCCATTCTCCCAGCCCGACAAGCACCCAAGAGCCCAGCCACCCCCAAGCCCAGGACACTCACAGGGCCCCAGCCCGGAGGACAGGCCACCGCCATGCAGGGCTCGAGGGCAGCTGGTGTCTGGTCCGCGGAGCAGGGCCCGGCGGTCGCTGGTGCCTCCAGGCCGTCTGCCCCCTGCGCGCACGTGACATTCTGTGCGACCAGGTCCGCTCCACAGGCCAACGGGCACGCGTCCGACACCTCCCACCTGACAGCCCAGGACAGCCATCAGGCCCTGCCCCTGCCATCGGCACAGCCTGGCCACCGGGGCAGGGAGAACCTGCTCCCCAATATCCAAGAACCCAAAGAGGGGCCCCACAAAGAAGCCCGGGCCTCTCCCTGAAGGGCCGGCCGCCGGCTGCGGGCACTGCGCTGGGCACCAGGGGCAGTGACACGGGCCCCACCGCCTGCTCCCAGAGGCGAAGGGGGGCCTCTGCCAGGTAACCAGGTGCTCCCACTGCCCAGCCGGTGTCAGCTGCAACCGGGTCACCAGGTCAGGGACAGGGAATCGCTCCAGGAGTGTGCCAGCCCGAGGGGCAGCGCTGCCTGGGTGTGTGCCGGGGAGGACTGGGAGGCAGGACCAGCCCTCGGTGGGAAGAGTGGTGGTCGCTGGGTCTGCTGGGGACGCGAGAGGGGAAAGGAGCCCGGCCACGTGTGGGCCACCAGGACCCGAGGGACAGGTAACAAAACGGGGGCCCTGGGCACCCAGCCGGTTGGCAGCGAATCAGAGTGATAGGCCGCTGCCAGCAGGACATGGCAGCGGCCACAGTGACAAGAAGTGGAATTTATTGCTTTCGTGGCCTCGCTTGGGCCTCACAGCCCCTTCCTGAGCAGCCCCCGAGGTTCAGAGAGAAGTGGGTGCAGGTCCCCTGGGCAGGGAATCTGGAGCTGGCACTCCTAGGCCTGGGCCACCCCTGCCCGTCGCCGGGATGGCAGCGCCTGGCTAGAGGCCTGGGGAACGGGGCATTGAGAGGGGCCGGGCTCAGCGCAGGGACCTGCCCCACCCCACGCTCACCTGGCGGGGCAGGGCTGGGAACTGCAGGTTTCCACCACCGCGGGCTTCTGGGCCAGCGCTGCGCACCGGGCAGGGGGCAGCGTCCTCAGGCGGGGGCCCTGGGCCTGCACGCAGCGCACCGCCCGCTCCCGCAGGCCTGTCCCGCAGGAGGTGCTGCAGGGGCCGAAGTCTCCAGCTGCCCAGCTGAGGAGAGAGCGGCAGAGTAGGGCCCTGCCAGGTTCTGGGTTGGCTGGAGGGAGGGGGAGGGCGGAGCAGGCAGATCTGTCCAGCTGACTCGCTACCCTGGGCTGGGCATGTGTCCCTTCGGTACCCAGACACGGCACAGGCCGGCCAGCCCGCCCCAGCTCTCCAGGTCCCCACCGTCACCCGAGTCTGAGGACACCTGCAGAAGGTGCAGGCGGGCGGCTGCCCAGCCCTGCACCCAGGAGGGACCGCCTTGCCTCTAACGCAGCGGTTCTCAACCTGTGGGTCGCGACCTTTGGCGGTCGAACGACCCCTTCACAGGGGTCGCCTAAGACCATCCTGCATAGCAGATATTTACATTACGATTCATAACAGTAGCAACATGACAGTTATGAAGTAGCAATGAAAATAATTTTATGGTTGGGTCACAACATGAGGAGCTGTATTTAAAGGGCCAGAAGGTTGAGAACCACTGCTCTAACGTGATGCTCCCACCAACCACGCCTGCCTGGGCCCGCGACGACGATGGCCGGGGACTTTCCTCAGCCGCTCTCCGTGGCTGCCCAGCTAGGTGATCCCCCCACGTACAGTGACCACCTGCGCTCGGGGCGCGTGTCCCGCCCGCAGACAGGCGCACCAGGGTGGGTCACCGACACCTGTCTGCCCGCGGCTCTGTCCTCTCCTGCAGCGCGGGGACGCTGCCTCACAGGGAGCCTCCCGGGCTACTCGAGGGCACACACAGAGGCACCCTGCCCGCCCAGGCGGCGTGGGCCCCAGGACCCAGGGGAGAGCCCCACAGACGGCACTCACTATGGGGGGCAGGCCCCGGGGGCGCAGGGCTCTGGCCAGGCCGCCGGCTGCGGGCTCCCTGCGCACCGGGCAGCCTCCACCTGCTGGTTCCTGGCCTGGTCCAGGCAGCTGTAGGTCACCCACCGCAGCCCTGGGAAGAAAGAGGGAGGCGAGGCCACCTCCATGCAGGGGGCCAGCCCGGCGGGGGCCCGCCCTGCCCCGGGCCTCACCTGCCCCACAGCTCACCGAGCAGGCCCCCCGCGTGGCAGCCCACGCCCAGGCCCGCAGCTTAGGCTGGAAGTAGGTGAAGGTGACATGCGGGCGGGTGGCGTTGCCATACTCCTCGCCATAGCGCCTATACACCTGCAGGAGAGAGGCGCACGGGGCCTCACCCAGGGGCTCCCTGGGGGTCGCTGCCACCACCACCTCCTGGAGGCCCCACATTCTTCCACTCAGCAAGCAACCACTGAGGTGGCCGCACCCAGGTTCTGGGGACAGCACGGCGAGCGGGACCCTGTTGCAGCCTCCAGGAGCTCGAGGTGGGGTGGGGTGGTGACAGCTAACCCTCCAGGGCCTGGTGGGGGCAGGACAGCAGCCTGAAAGGTGTCGCAGGCTCTAGGTGGAGCAAGGGTGGGGCATGGAGCAGAGGCGGGAGGCAGGGCCTCAGACAGAGGGGAGCCCAGCACGGGCCCGGGTGAGATCAGAAGAGATGAGACCCGAGGGGGCGGCCGGAAGGGGTGGTCACTCCTTAAGCATGCTGCGACCCCAGGAGGCAGGACTGCGACCCCATTCCACAGGGGAGGAGACTGAGGCCTCTGACCTCAGCATTGGCCAGACCGGCCTCCCCCACTGTCTCGCTCCTCCACCCCCCTGGGCCAGGCCTGACCCAGGCCTCTCCCAACTCCAACTGCAGGCCCCTCAGCCCCTGGACACCCAGGAGGAAGCCCAGACTCCGCCCATGACCAGGAAGCCCCTCAAGGTCTGCCCCGCCCCCTAGCCTTCTTGCCTGGGGGTCCCCTTCCTTCAGCCCCCGAACCACCCCTCCTGTGCTCGCAGGTTCCCTGGAGACACTGCCCGCTGGCTGGCCTGGGCACCAGCTCCTCCAGGCCCAGCCCCGCCGCCCTCCGGGGGCAGCCCCCGGGCCTGCCGGGCTCTCCGGCCACCCACTCAGCTCCAGGGGCTCCGTGCGAGCGAGCGGCTGAGCGGCTGAGCGGCTGGTCACCTGGATCTCCATGTCTTCCTGGGTGGGGCCCGGGATGGAGATCTCCTCCAGGCGGGGCAGCCGGTCCTCGGTGAGGGTCACTCTGTACTCGATGCGGCTGTCCTCCAGGAGGGAGGGGTGGCTGGTGCTGGGGGAGATGCTGAAATTCCCAGCCACCACGTAGTGCCCGCGGATCCTCACCGCTGGGGGGAGCGAGGCCTGTCAGCACAGCAGAGCCCCCCCCCCCCCACCTAGGAGGGGGCACCACCCTTTCACAGAGGAGGCCCTGGTTTAAGGAATCGGCCAACAGGTGGTCGTCTCTGTGGCCACACCTGCGACCGTCCTCCTCCGGGTCCCCAGCCCCAGGAGCGGGTCCCCCCCCTCTCTGCAGGCACCCCTCGAGGTGCACACAGGGGCTGCCCCAGGCTTCCTCACAGCGGCAACTCCGCGCCTCCCCCAGAACCCGGGGAGCACCGGGGCCTGCTCCCCACCACGCACACCCACGCGAGCTCTACAGGCCGGTCAGGAGCTCAGGGACCCTGGTAGGCCCCCACTCTGGGTTCAAAGGTCAGGTGTGGGCTACCCTGGACACACAGCCCCAGGGAGACCGGGGAGTAAAGAAGCTGGCCTTGCCCAATGACGGGGAGGGGGCCTAGTCAGCCGGGGGGAGTCTTTAAGGAGGGGCCTGGCCAACCAGAAAGACCAAACACGTGGTTTCGGGGCCTTGGGTCACAGGGCATGAGTCAGCCTGGAGACTGACACCATTCATGTGAGCGCTCAATCGATCCATCAGTCAATAACCGATCAGGCCTACATTGAAGCCCCAGTAGAAACGGGCAGGGAGCCTGGGTGAGCTCCCTGGGTGGGCAATACTCCATGCCCATCACCTGGACGCTGGCCCAGAGCCCCCCACTCTGCCCTGGGCGTCTCCTCCTGGCTGGTTTACTCTGTCCTTCCCCGTTTCCACCGTGACCCTAACAGCCGAGTCTGGGGGTCCTAGTGAGCTGTCCAATCTGACGGTGGTTTGGGGAACCCTGACCTCAACGTTGGCGTCAGCAGTGCGGGCATCTTGGGGACCGCGCCCTCCACCTTCGAGGTTTGGCGAACTCTGGTGAGCCCTCCGCCAACTCACCCAGGTGTGTGAAGAGCGGCCTGTGGTTGGCGATGTGCACCCTGGTCAGGTTGGGAGTCAGCGTCAGGAACGTGACGTACTCTAGGAGGGAGCAGAGGGCTGAGACCCCGCCCCACCGCAGGCCAGGGGGCGGGTTTCGGCACCAAGAACAGGCTCAACAGCGCCAGCCCCACTGTGCGGGCGCCTTGGCGGGCAGTCAGGCTGGTGGAGGGCCAACGAGGGTCCCCACCCTGCCTGCCCCGCCTGGGCGGGGGGGCGCCGAGGCTCTGGGCTGCCGGGGCTTCTCGGGGGCGAGGGGCCGGCCCCTACCTCGGGCTCTTCCGCCCGTGAAGGAGCCGCTCTGCGCGCTGCACGTGCTGTTGTCCCCTCCACACACCTGGCACTCGTCCGGCACCTGCCGGGAGTCCATCCTGCCGTCACAGCCGAACGTCTGCGCAAAGGGGACGGGGGGCGCCCGGGCTGCGTGTCACCGGAGGGGCAGCCCCACTGGCTCTCAGAGTCACATGACAAACGGGCCGCGTACAGGGCATCTGAGGCCCCTTCCGGAGACGAGCTTAAACGGCCGCCCCAGATCGCAGCGCAGCTCTCAACCCTGCTGCCCCCAAGGTCGGCCCGATCCCCTCTCATCCCGCGAGGCGGCTGCTGCTTCGGGCACCCGCCCCCACTGGCCTCGCCCGGGAGGCCGTGTTCGGCTTTGCTGGGACAGGCCTGGGGGCCACAGGGGACGGAGAGGCGCCCGCTGCCTGCACACGCCTACCCTGCAGCTGCCCAACACGCACAGGCTGAGGGTCCCGTCCTCCTGCGGGCCGCTTGGCACACACCGGGTGCCGTCCCGGAAGCTGTCCCCACGCCGCATGATGAAGCTCTCACCGACGGCCCGGCACATGTGTCTGCACAGAGCGTCCCCTGGGGAGGCAGAGGGACAGGAACGCTGACGCAGGGGCGGGGTAGGGGCAGGGAGGGCGGCAACCCGGGAAGCAGGCTCCAGGCGCCCTCGCCCTGCCAGCCCCGCCGCTTCGCCCGCTGCTCGTGGGCCAGAGTCTATGTTCCTCCCAAGGCGGCCTCGCAACCAGGAGGCAACACGTGCGGCTGAGCCAGGAGCCGAGGGCACACCCGGCGCCCCCCCTCACCTCACTGTCCTCCCAGCAGCCGAGCAGGGAGCACACCGCTGGGAGCCAGGACTCGCAGGAGACCCCTCCCAGGGCCGAGCCAGGACGCTCCCTGCGCTGATGCACAGCCTGCGCCTGCTGTCCACCGCGGGGAGCCATGTTGGCCACGGTTCTCCCGCCCACACCGCTCCCCAGGCAGCCCCGGGCCCCACCTTGACTGTGAGGCACAGCTGGGCCCCAGCGGTAGGAGGAGGCATTGCCTGGGGAAAGGCCCAGCGGCCGCCCCTCGGTCTCCGCACACTGCTCAGCCATGAACGCCAGCTGGGTGGTCTCGCAGGCCTGCCAGACAGGGCAGGGGACAGGCATGGAGGCTGGGGTGGGGGCTTGGGCAGGGTCCCGGGCTTGGGGCCCAGGGCAGGGGGCCCAAGGCAGGGGGCCTAGGGCAGGGGGGCTCAGGGCAGGGGGCTCAGGGCAGGGGGCTCAGGGCAGGGGGCCCAGGGCAGGGGGGCTCAGGGCAGGGGGTCCCAGGCTTGGGGGCTAGGGCAGGGGGCCCAGGGCTGGGGGGCTCAGGGCAGGAGGCCTAGGGCAGGGGGCCTAGGGCAGGGGGCCCAGGGCAGGGGGCCTAGGGCAGGGGGGCTAGGGCAGGGGGTCCCAGGCTTGGGGGCTAGGGCAGGGGGCCCAGGGCTGGGGGCCCTTGCACCTGGGGACAGGGAGGCACCCTGAGTGTGAGGCCATGAGGGTTTGAGCCTGGCTCCTGGCTGCACCTGTTCCCCGCTCTGTAAAATGGGGGTGACGGGAGCCTTTTTCTGCCGACAGGGAATTCCAGGAGCATTTGTGAGGACACGGGGCAGAGGGAAGCAGGCAGAGAACACCGCTCAGACCCAGGGCCCGAACCGCAGAGGTCAGGGTCTGGGCCATTCACAGGCACCGCCTCTAGAGGCCGCGTCAGAAAAGGCCAGGCAAGGCTTCACCAAGAGCCTCGGCGGGAGGCGTCGGAGAGAAGAGGCTCGGAGCGGACCGGCCCGCAGAGTGGACCGGCTGAGCGGGACACGGCCCTCAGCTGCCCGCACACCCCCTCCCCCACCTCGGGCCCAGGCGAGGGCTCCCTGCAGGTCTGGCCCCCAGTGGCCGCCCGGAGAAGGTGGGAGGGCAGCTCTCAGACCTTAACGTCAGAGATCAGTCCCCGCTTCACACCCACTGCAATGGCTGTGACCAAAACCTGGACAGCCGGCCCTGGCCGGGGGCTCAGTTGGTTGGCGCGCCATTCCACACCCCGGAAGGTGGTGCGTGTGATTCCCCGTCAGGGCACATGCCCAGGTGTCAGGTTCAACCCCCAAGTCGGGGCGTGTATGGGAGGCAACTGATCAGTGTTTCTCTCTCTCTTCTCTCTTCCTTCCTCTCTCTAAAATCAATAAAAACATCCTCCGGCGAGGATTAAAACATAAAACCAAACCTGGACAGTGAGTGCCGACAGCGCGTGGAGGAGCTGGAGCCCCCGCGCCTGCCGTGGGCACCAGTGGGGCCGGCTGCTGGGGGCGCAGTTTGGAGCCTCCTCAGAGATTACACAGGATTTCTGCTGTGAGCCACACACTCCAGCCGCCCTGGGCCCCCTGGGGCCCTGCCCGGAAGCCGGCCTACCTGGGTGTTGCACATCTCGGCCTGGAGGTCAGCGCCTGTGCATGCACGCCCCCCGAAGGCAGGTCTGAAAACGCCCGGAGACAGTGGTGAGAGGTGACCCACAGACCCCCAACCAGGGCAAGTGCAGCTCCCCCCGCCCCCGCCCCCTTCCATCCCGCACCTGGGGTTGTTGCACTGCCGCCTCCTGGTGACCACGCCTCCTCCGCAGGAGCGGGAGCAAGGACTGGGGGGACCCCAAGCTGACCAGTGCCCGTGCACCGCCTCCATGGGGGTCAGCTCCGCCAGGGAGCGGCAGCGGCCCTTGGAGCACCACTGCAAGGAACGACACCAATCTCCGTCCCCACGGGCACCACACCCACACCCACACCCACAGGCACCAAGCACAGCTCCAGGGCCCTCGCCCTGGCACCCTGTCTCCTGCCCCAGGAATAAGGGCTGCCAGGCTGCAGGTGGCATGCGCAAGCATGTGTGAGCACATCCACACTCACACACACATGCACACACTCATGCTCATGCACGCACATGCTCACACACTCATGCTCATGCACACACACTCGCACACACTCATGCTCATGCACGCACGCGCTCGCACACACACACGCTCACACTCTCCCATCTCCCTCGCTCCTCCCTCGCTGACCTTCGCACGCGCTCGCACACACACCAGGAGCGGGAAGAGGAGCGTCTCCCTCGCTCCTTCCTCGCTGACCTTCTGGGGGGCCGCACTCGGTCCCGTCCAGAAGAGGGGAAGAGGAGGCGGCTCCACTGCTGAGGTCC